TCACCCTCTCAAGAACGCACACCGCCTGGTCGGCCGTCCGGCCAATCGATCGTTTCTCCCAGTTGGGAGAAGTCGACGAAGAAAATCGAATGGCACTCCAACATTGTAACTGGAGGAGCCTGGTGGTGGATCGCGTGAGATGGTACCATCCTACCTTTATAGACCCCTCGGCGGGGATAAGTAGCACCGTACCGCTGTCGTACCACCACCGACATATACGCGTTCCGTGACTTATTAACCTGGGGCATACCTCGATGATAAAGCATACCTTCGGTATAACGATCAGACGAGGGGAAGACAAATGCTGACGCTATCGCTTCCTAATATTTTTCATATCCTCCGCTAGAGAATTCCTATGGAAACAGAATGATCAACAATGTCGACGACCATGTTTATGAGAACAAAGCTAAATATTCACAAAATGTTCAATTTGAATTCCAAATGTTCTGTATATTAGAATAGTAGAACATTCATAGAATGTTCAAAAGTTAATGAAATATTTAGAATATTATGAGTGCGTTCGGAGAGACGCTATTATAGTGCTATTTGTCATTTTATCTTCATCAGATGTAAAACAAGAATAGAACGACATAAATAATGCTATAATGATGCCTTCCTGAACACATCCTATATATATTTTCATTAAGTACAATTTAGAATAGAACAATTTTCATTAATTGAAGAAAGTAATAATTATAGGAATAGGAATTCGTATTAAACGGAAGCCGGTAATTGTTTTTTTAGTCCTCTTTTTTTAGTCAATTTAAAATTGTGAAACAAAATTAAAATTTAAAATATATAATCATAATGCTGAAACTGTAAGATATAGATTGGATAGATGAAATTATACTTCTGGTTTATAACTTTTCCTTTTTTTATTTAATAATTTTACTTTTTAATTTACAATTTATTATTTCTGTTAGTTAAAATACTTTATTAAGGATTAAAGAGAAATTATGCAAAAATTATATGTAATTTTATGAATTATAAATATTTATCATATGCTATAAAAGACAACGAAGAGTTACATGTTCAAGCAATTGTAAAGCAGGCCTACCTTGGAAAATTGAAAAAGAAAAATTAATGCATCATTGTACAGACCATTAAAGAGATCAATACATGCACTGAGAGAAAACAAAATAGTTCCAGCAATTATAAATTTGGCAACTTTTGCAATTGAAGTACCTGTAACTAGTTTTACAAAGTAATAGAAACTAAAGTAGTGTTGAATATTATAAAAATACAGTCACGGTAACAAATTGTATGCACTATTAATTGGTAGTGAAGTAGTGACTCAACTACATTGAGTAGTTACTTGGACTTCATGCAAATAGATATAACAATTACATTTTTCTAGTTTAGACAAAAATTTTTAAAGTGTCGCTCAGTACGAGTAGTACGGGGCTTTGTCACCAGAGGGACGTAGTGGAGTTCAGTTTCTCCTCTCTAAGAAGGAAACCACTCGCTTACAATAAAAGGCGCAGCGTTGGTTTCAAACTTGGAAGACAAAAATAAATAAGAAATGCATACACAAATTTGTAACTATGTATTATAAAGCTTTAATAAGAACAATAAGTAAATTAAGTGAACTAAGAAAATATAGTAATATTAACCATTTATAAATTGTTTATATGGTTAATGTACTATATTTTCTTAGTTCACTTAATCTAGTATTCTTATTAGAATTTAATAATATGTATATATAGTTGAGGCGCTATTTCACTACAAATTTATAGTTACTGATACGACTTTTTTCTCTGAGTGTGCATAAAAAATGAGAAACATATTTCTAGAATAAATAAAAAAAGACTCAAATAAATGAACCTACTGTTCTTTTATTATGAAAGTTTTAAACTAATATCAGATTTATTATTTTATTCGTAATACAATTATATTAGCAGTGCTCGTAATATAATGTAAATCATTCCAAAAATACAATATTTTGTTTATACGCGAATTTTAATTATTTCAAATCAAATGATCGATGCAGAGTATGCGTCAGATCTAAAAACAATACTAAAAATATAAAAATTTCACAGATTATTCTATATAATTACGTTCGAATATTTGTAAAAATTTTGAGTGTAATTTTTTATTGCTCAATTTCTCTTATTGATTTAAAAGTTATTTAAATTTTTTATTTCTTCTTTTATCTCTTATACGTATATCAAATCAAAATCGAAATTGGAAATGTTATTATATAGATGTACTATATGTCTTATCAGATCGTGGGTGTAACACAAAAAATACTATTTTAGTCAGAAATGAAAATATCTGATTATTTTTAATCCCTGAATAAGAAAATAAAGATATATGCGGTCAATTCGTAAAATATTCGATTTATATCAAATGTTTCGTATATTCCAGAATAGTAGAATATTCATTCATAGAATATTCAAAAGTTAATGAAAATTTATAGTGAATTCGGTCACTACGCTAGATCAATGCATATTAAAAGCTGCTTTACATAAAATTAGCAAAATAAATATTTTAAATGATTAACTATCTACTAATGATATGTCACGTTATTTAACAAAATATATGTGTATCATTTTATTGTCAAAGTTAATTATATTGTATCACTGCATTGAGATATTTTATCGTATAATAAATCAACCTGACTAAGACTCCTTATAAATCAGAAAACCAGGAAAGAACAAGGGCAATAGGAGTCAAGCGTGGAAGACGTTGCGCAAATAACACGACTATCTAGCGTAAAACTTCTTTATTTTACTAAAGCGCTTACATGTTTCGGCTCATTTTTGAGCCTTCTTCAGAGACAACATAAACTCACATATATAGAATATAACAAATATTAATTAGTCATGGTGATCTTCCCCACCTCGAGAGTATAAATGCTAGAATTAAATCCAGATAAGAATGCAATGAAGAAAAAAGGAAAGAAATTTTGAAAATCTCGAAATAAAGAAAATGTAAAACTAATGTATCAAAAAATTTTTGAAATTATAATTAATTATTCCGAAAGGTAGGAAGCTCACCCTGATCACAAGACACCGCATCGTCTACCCTATTTTTTGATACATTAGTTTTACATTTTCTTTATTTCGAGATTTTCAAAATTTCTTTCCTTTTTTCTTCATTGCATTCTTATCTGGATTTAATTCTAGCATTTATACTCTCGAGGTGGGGAAAATCACCATGACTGGTTAATATTTGTTATATTCTATATATGTGAGTTTATGTTGTCTCTGAAGAAGGCTCAAAAATGAGCCGAAACATGTAAGCGCTTTAGTAAAATAAAGAAGTTTTACGCTAGATAGTCGTGTTATTTGCGCAATGTCTCCCGCGCTTGACTCCTATTGTCCTTGTTCTTTCCTGGTTTTTTCTGATATATATGATGAATATTTTATACCTACAAATTAATTTTTATACGCACTGATCCAGTGTAGTGTGAATGATCGAATTCACCATTAGAATATTGTGTGATGTGTGTGTGTGTGCGCGTGCGTGCGTGCACACGCGAGAACATTTTTTATATCATTGAAATCGATCGTTTATCCACGAACGCTGCTGTGCCGGCAGATGAATGTAGCGGAGCTGTATTTTTCATAAGTAAACTGCGATAGAATAAAAGGCGTATTTCATCCGTAAGCCTTCAAAATTGGACTCCTAGTTGAAAGTAAAATGTATTCTCGACAATCAATTATTCTCGTTTAAAAATTAATTCAAGGATTGGTATTTTCTGGGAATTTTTTGGATTATACGTGAAATATTCTTCGAATATGTAACGACATGCCATTATACATACATAAAATATTTTACGATTCATCATTTAAATATTGCTTTTATATTCTATAAATATTTCGGAATATATCGAAATATTTTTGGATTATTACTGTGGGACTTTAGGAATATTGTATGAATATTTCGCGCTAACTTAGTCAAATCTGTGAACAATAAATCTGTAAGTAAGGAGCGTCAACTGTATACGATACAAACGATCAATTTTATATCTTGAAGTGACTTTAATAAACTCTGTGAAGAGATCTAATTTTGTACCTTTTTAGAGTGGAGAAAAAACTCTCTTATATTAGCCTGTGTTCGGAAACATCATCCTAATGCTCCTGTGTATCGTTTTATCCTTATTATTCACTCAATGTTAAACAAAGATAAGATGATACACGAGGGCACCTGGGTGATGTTTCTGAACGCAACCTTATTATATTTAATATTTTAATTTAGCTGTTTAATTTTTGAACTCTATAATAATTATGACATCAAGAAATATGCATTCTAGTAACCGAAAAATCAAAATTTTTGATTTGGTAATGACTACACGAATCTATATTTCTATCCCTAAATCTATATTTCAATTCCTTGGGAATTACCGAATCCAAAATTCTGATTTATTTCGAATACTGGGATAATAATTATGACAACATGAACGATAAATAGAAAAAACAAAATATTGAAAAACATATATACAAACAAGAGAAAAGTAAATCTATAAAAATAATTCAAAAATAAAATAATCAATTCCATAATAATTTGTAACTTTAGATTATATCATGACATTACAAGCTTCTCTTTCTTTTTCTCTGTATGCTTTGCATGACAAAGTGCAATACACGGACACAAGTAAATGAGCCCACTTACTTTTAAAGTATAGCCTGCATTCGATTTCAACGTTCATGCGTTGTAAGCTTCTATCATTATCACTTTTTTATCTTTATTACTTTTACCTGTAGAAGAAAAATAGAATGGAACTTACAGCGCATGAGTGCCAAAACCGAACACAGTCATAATATACGTATTTAAATTTAATCTTATTTAAATTAAAAGAGCATAACAAATGTTTATATATTCCATATGATTTCGAGATATAATATAACTATACTAAAAATTTTAAATATTTAATTCAAATATCGTTTACAATAATCTTACAATATAATTCATGTTAATAGAACATAAAATAAAATTCAATATTATTAAAATATATAAAATTATAATATCAACAGTTTCAAGTAAAAAAGGTAGTAGTTTGCTTACTATATATCACATAACGTTCGAGAAAACGTTATCAGCGCTATTTGTTATTCTATCGTCATCATCCATTAGACTTGAAACAAGGATAGCGTAAAATAAACAGTGCTGATAGAGTACTCCGCAGCCTACAATAGCAAGTACTGTTCTTTCTCTCTTAATATTATCAATATCTTTACATTCCATTTTTTGGAGAGCTAAATAATTTACAAATTGTAAATTAAGTATTACATTATATCAATGTATATCGGCTTGAGATTGATTTAAAGAGGAATTTCCATCAACTGCATTTGGAGTTTCTATGAAACCTTCATCATCATCGTTGCGTAATGTATCAAAAACTAAAACAATTTTCACATTCACATGGTTAAATATTGATTTATAATTATTATCATTAAAATGCAAACAAATGCATTCTAAACATACCTGTAGTACGTGAGAATGGTTTGATGTATAAAATCATCAGTAAAGCAAATATCGCGGATACTCCACAGGCATATGTAAGAATGTCTCTGTAGTAATAACTAGCATAACCAGACGAACAGTGTCTGAAAGGTAAACATAGTTAAAGCAGTACTTCTTTCAATCTATGACTTTTTTAAATAATAAAAAATTTAATTCAAGTTTTTATATGTTAAATATTCTCTTATTTACTTTATTAAATACTGAATCAACATAACCACTAGACCGTTACTAAGCTTGTCTGTAAAGCTCATAATTCCGTAGGCAAAGGCACCGCTCTCAGTATTTTTTCCTATTAGATCGGAAGTAACACCAAGACTAGTCACTAACATTATTGCACCAGCAGAACCTGCAACATTGTAAATTAAATTAGTAAGGCGTTCTTAGTTTTTTTAAATTTATAAAACTTCGCATTTACATTATATCTAATTAAAAATTCTACATAAATTACCTAGTAGCATAGCTACAACATAGATTTGATATTTAACGTATATGTCACCATTACCAAATTGTATCCAAATACAGGCACATATCGCAAGTAAAGCACCGATAGAATACGCGACTTTTCGACCCCATTTTGTATTGAGCCTTTCTATGATTAAAGACGTTAAAAAACTACTTAGATACATTGTCAATGGTATATAAGCCAAAGATGTCACAGGCATATTCAGTGATTCATGTAAGTACAAAGGTATATAAATTTGGCATAAATTATTGAATAGGCGTGTAAGCATATAGACACATGCTACTTGATACATTCTGACGTCTCTCAATAATACTGATGCTGTTCTAGCGTTCCTATGCATAAAGCTACCTAAAAAGATATTATCAAATATTTACTTTTATATATTATATATCTATGCACATGTATGTGTATATATATATATATATACACAATATACATATATTTTTAAAAACTATATTTTATTACCATTAGCAGTACCATTAGCACTTTCTTTAACAACAACGTGAAATATAATAGATGTTACTAATCCAGTTGCTATTCCAATTAAAACAACTTTTTGAAATTTGTGAATGTCACTAGGTCCAATATGATCATCATACTCGTCACTCGTTACATGTAGTACACCCCACATAATACAGTAAACAAGAACATTGGAGAAAACAGTAAATGTGAACCTATTTAATATTGTGATAGAATTTTGTTACATGTATATGTACATATTATCTTCATTAAATAAATGTTGCACGCTATTTTTCTTGAATGACTTTCTGCTATTACCTTTTCAGCAGGTGTAAGCTCTGGGACTAAGGCCAAATGTGATATTTGTACCGCTGCCCAACCAAATTGAAAAATCACTACAAAAGCAGCATAATAAACTAGCTGTGCATATTGATGTGCACTTTCGCAGCCTATACATTGCGAGAATATAAAAGGAAATCCCAATAGTACGCAAATAGTGCCTGCAAACAAAGTAAATAATTATTACAGTGTTTTGAAACAAAAGCATATAGATAGCCAAATCTGTCGAGAGTAAATTTTGTAAAATGTTTACAAAATGTTTACTATAGATCTTGTCAAAATATAAGCAAAACTGTAACAGAATTTGCCAACAAAATACAATGGCAGATTTTTTGCAGACTACTATACAGACTATGATACATTGGCATCAATTACATGTACATTAAATTGTTCTACTAATAGAGCCTGATATAAATTGATAATAAATTAGCAGCAGAAATAAAATAAACTCTATTACTTTTTTCAATCATTGAAATGGATATGATTTAAATGATTACAAAATGACAAATTGTGTTCAATTTCTATTGTCAGTTTATGTGTGTGCGTGTGTCAGCAGGCTATATTAACAGAACATTAATGCAACTGCAGTCGATGCATCCTGCTTGTTCTTGCTGGAAAACTGCTAGCTAAACTTACTACCAACAGTTTAATTCGCTACATAAAATAATAACAAGACTAAACAAGATAAAAATTTTAAATAATAATAAGTTAAAAATAATACCTAACAAATGCCAGGTCTTTCTTCTGCCATATCTGCACAACCAAAAGTTGTCGTTTATGTCAGACTGAAAACCAACGAACGGAGTGACCAAAGCATCTGCTATTTGGCCGATGAGAAGCACAACGCCAGCCAGAGTCGGATCAAATCCAAGCACCAGGTGGAAGAAGACCAGTAAATAGGTGAACCACATGGAAGCGCAGATGTCATTTAATATATGACCTGTGCCATAGGCTAATTTCAAATAAAGAGGCAATTTCCGTATTATCTCCACGTAATCATCCGTCGAACTGCTCGTCCCAGGTTCCATCGTGACAGATCGTTACTGAACATAAACAGTTGGCCTTAAGCGCGACTTACGTTCTTCTTCTTCTCGGATTTCGCAGATGAAAGGGAAAGGTCTCTAGCACTAGACCCCTAATAACTTGTTAATTAAAGAATGTAGTCGTGGCGTCATCGATGAGTCAAATGTATCATACACTTGTAAATCCTGAAAATGGAACATTGAGATGAAGAACCAGAAGAACGTCGCGATATGACGAGCTGTGTCACGTCACGTTTTCCTTCCGACCAATATGCTAACGAAAATCAGCCTGTTTATCAAAGTCAAAGGTGTTCGAGATAGAGAAGGCATCGGTCCTAACCTATCAAATTTCCCCTGAACGTCATGTTATGCTGCTCTACTCCTACCTTATCAGGCTACTAATGACGTTATTATGTTGACAGATATGAGCAATCATGTGATTCATTCTTTCAATATATACGCCTTTTGCCGCTATGAAAGGGCGATAATGTAATTAAAGGACTGTGTTTCATCTGAATTCTTCTTGCGATTTATAAATTTTTATTTCGTTTTGTTTTAAGACACAGTGCTATGCTCCTCTTTTTAGATTTGCTAGGATAAAGCTGAAACTTCACCTTGCAAAGCGAGGCCAATTGGATGAAGTAATAGACTTATTCTTTATAGCTGAACTTCTTGCATGATACATCTTTTTTTTGTTTTTTTCCGTAGAGAAAAAAGGAAGACGAACAATGACAAAAATTCAACAAAAAAACAAGCCTAATTTGCACAAAAGAAGCAGGGCAAACAAATTATAAATTTTTGAACAACCACAAATGTTAGGCCGCGATCCAATTCATGTTCGTAACACTCATCAGATTCATGTTTACAACGTAATCGTTTCATTTTTGTCGTTTATGAAATATTAAACAAAAATATAACCTCATGAAGGTTATGAATTCTGAGCGTGAATCGGATCGCGGAGAAATTAAAAAGTACGTTGCGGAGTAACCAATTTACATAGTCGAAAGAACAGCCATCAATAGTCTACGATTAATTTATTTCATTATATTAACAACATATGTAACAATATATAAGCAGAACTTACTGAAATATATTACTACCGATGAATGAAACAAATTCTGGCACAATAGTAAGACCTCTGCAAAAATTATACAATCTCCCGCCTCCATTCTGCTTTTTTCAGCTTCATTGCGATACATATATATAAAATACATATTAATATATGGAAATATGAATATACACATATGTGGCAAAAAAATACATCTTTTGCACTTGTAAAAACACTTGGAACACAGACATTTATCTACATGATGTTGTGTTTGGATAACAACTTGACTGTAGAATAACTGTATAATGCTTTAAAATAATTTGAAACCAAGATATTTTCTAGATGTACATTATTACAAATCAGATGCACAGTAGCGTCATTGCATATAACATCCGTGTATTTATACGCTAAGGGACGATCTGGAATTGAGATAAAACTGATGGCCAGAGAAAAGGAAAGTGAGAACGTAAATGCATGCGGCAATCCAGCAGTTGTATGCGTTCTGCGTGTATCCTCGGTCTACCACTTTGTAGAATTCATCTGTTGAGGTGAGATTTTCCTTCAGCTCTCCCAACGGGAGATCCTCCACCAGTGCTACGCTCCGGACGTAGAAAAATACTCCCATGAAGAGCTAAGAACAAAAAAGATCCAATAAACATTATATATACTAGCACGTAGCTTACTAGATTTGATTCATAGTCAGATCTTATGTTTAAGACTGTTTTATGTTCAGTCTTAAGATGTCATGAATCAATTAGAAAGTATTAACATCTTAAGACATTCCTTAAGACAATCTTAAAATAAGAACAAACTATGAATATCGCTTATAATATTACTGCAGATTGATATTAAGCTTATGTTCTGTCAATGACTGTGTTCTATAGAAAAAGCAGCTTTGCAACTGTTGTAAGATTCTTTTATATGATTAGTTATACATTTAGATCCAACAAGGAACTAAGGGCAAGAACTAATCATGTTAAAGAATATTACAATAGTTACAACAATTCTTTTTCTGCTAAATGAAGGTAATTTAATGGAGCCTGCTGCATAAGTTGTCTTTTGTTATTCTGTAAATACTGAAAGTCTATAGTTACATAAATGTTATGTTAACTATAAAATTCCATTACTTATATAAACTATAGATATATTTTCAGCAGTCACAGTGAATAACAAAACGCAGCCATAATCCAACAGAAGATTGCCAATGAAAATCAAAAACCGGCTACAGTTCTTTTTAGCTGAATTTTTTACAGGATTTACCTTTGTTCTTTTACTTTTTATGTTAAAGAAAAAGAGAGAAAAAATAGATGGTGAAAGTTCTCTCTCTCTCAGCTAAAAAAAATTATTTCATAACTATTTAAATAGAATATATCACTTAAACGAAATCATTCTATTCGGTTTTTATAATCGATCTACCATCAAGTTCTGTTAGCAGATTCTGTTATATTTCGGCTGGCACTTTTACGACAGGATTTACAACGCTTAGCGAAAGCTGTTTTTGATGAATTTGTCTAGGAAGTTAAGTCCGATATCAAGACGTTTTATTTCTAAGTATATAAATATATTTATAAAAGCGTGATCTCTTTCTCTCACCAACTGGAATATGCCCCAAACAGACAACACTAAACCGCACAAGGCGTATTTGGGCCCGCAGACCTTCATCCTGATCGACAAGATCGTTCGTACAGAGTGGTCAAATTTAACCAAGCGACTTCGTCGTTGGTTTACACGAACCCTTGGTGATTAGCCGCGAACGTGAACGAGGTGACCCAGGTACCAGCGTTCGTTAATATCCTCGGCTGATCGTCCGTCGTAACACTCGTGACAGTCGTGACGATACACCGCGATGAACGTTTTTGTAATCATGTGACGTTTAATGATCTCGACAGTATCGCTTGAAGTGCCAGCGATATATCGATAGGTCGTAGCGACCTATCCGCATCTGGTTAAATTTGCCCAGTTGGACGCCAGTGGGCGCCAGCTAATCGGCGATAAGCGCGCCAAATCGCGGATAAATGGTGTAATCAGCAGCAAGCTGGCCAGACCAGATACGCACTCTATCGCCAGACACGCACGGACAGGTTACGTACTGGATGTGATTCACGCATCTTGCTGTTGTCAACCCTGATTCATGGGATCATGGTCGATCGATTGGGTTAGTTCGTGCTCCGTTTATTAGCATTTAATTAATATCGCGTATCTTGCGAAAAGACGAGGCTGCTAGGCCATCCCGGTCAACTCGGGGAGGCTCACGCGTCCCGCGATCGCAAACGGACAGACGTGGGTGGCGCGCAGCCGTCTCGGTCTCCTTGCGCGATTATGCGCGCGAGGATAACGGTCTCACGGGCTGTCAGCTTTCGTGTTGGTGGGCCGTATGCTTTTGACAGCTCCGGGCAGTCCGGAGTAATTCCGCTCTGTTTAGCCGCACGCTTCCTCCTCCCCTCGTGCTCTCGTTACGCTTTCCATATTTAAAACGTGACGTCTCGATGAAGAGATGGAAGAGATGAAATTTACACGGGGTGTGAAAAGTGCAGCTAGAAAGAACGGGCTTGACGTGCCTCGGACGTTTTCGTTCGAAACGTGGGTGTGTTGCGAGCGTGACACTGGGATGACATTCTCGTTAATCTCTCCCCTCCCCCATCCTTGGGGCTTGATTTGTTTTAGTAAACAGCGAGGCCAATGCCAGGCGCATCGCGATGGTCGAAAACTGCTTCGGCGGTTCGGGTCAGGTAAGAAGGATTCGTGCGAGTAAAATTTATAAATTTCTCAAATGTTTGTAACTAGTCGTAGTAATGACTCACTTATGAAACATCCATCTCACAGCCGCTCGCAGTACCCGGCCGAGTCCTGGTGGGTGAAGGAGTCCTGACAAAAATGTGCAGGAAAAAGCCCAAGCCTAGACAGTTCTTCCTGTTCAATGACATATTGGTTTACGGGAATATCGTGATTAATAAGAAAAAGGTATGCATATAGAGAAGTGTTTGTCTTTTATAGATAAAGCCTATGATGTACAAAATAAATTTTGTATCTAACGGTTTTGATACATAAAATAACAGTAATAATAGTAAAATAAATAAATGTTAATATGGCTCAATTAGAATAAATCAATAAATAAAAGAAGGGCAACGAGCCAATTATAATGTAAGATCTTTAATAAATGTATATATACAAACGTTTCGACACCGATCGGGTCATTTTCAATGTAAAATAACAAACACTCTTACATACATTATCAGAAAATTCGGTCAAATTATATTGTCCAGTAAAAAATTAGTTGAATTCATAAAATACGGTCCATATGTAAAACTATCAAAAGAGATCACATCTCACTTTTCGCAATTCTACAATCTCATATTGTCTCAATGATGTAAAGTAGACGACGATAGGAACACACAATTAACAAAGTTATATTTAATAAAAGAGTTATATTTAATAAAAAATAAGCCATGATACAATTGGATGTAACATTTAAACTCAACGATGTCATGCGACGTTATAATAGTAATAATAGTGATTATAATGATAATAATTTGTTTATAGTATAACAAGCAGCATATTATACCCCTGGAGGAGGTAAAATTAGAGTCTCTAGCTGACGAGGGTCGTAAGTACATTATATTATTTGTAACTAATACACTTGTATGCATATTGCAATTTCTGTTTATTCCATCTATGTTACACAGCCTTGGCTATAAATATAAAACATCTTCAATTTATTTTCTTGGAAAAGGTAATAAAAATCAAAGGTAATTAAAACAAAATATTAAAACTGTTATAAAAATAAAATTTTTCATTAGTTTTTTATTTTTTATTAGGTATGGAACATTTATGTCAATTTGTGAAGGAGCTTTATACTTGTAGTTAAGGCTGTATATGGAATAGTTGAAAAATATCTTCTATATCCCCCTCCCTATCCTGTAACTCTTGACAGTGTTGATATTGTATATTGCATAGGTATTATATATGATAAAAAAGCTGTGAAACAATATAACAATAACACTGTCCTTAAAAGATTACAGAATAGAGGTATAGAAAGATTTTGAGGAAGATGAGCAAAATGTTATTTTGCTTTTGATAGTTTTGGTTAAAAATCACAGAAAACTTTTACATGTAAGATTTCTTACAAAGAATAAATATTTCGAAATACATTTTATCGGGTTCTGTTTTTGAGAGAAATGACGCATTTACTATAGTTTTTCAATTGTCACACGGCGTATGGATCAGTAATCAAATGAGATCATATATGCATATCTAGAAAACGATAGTATAGTATTGGATCATTATTTATAGAATATCGTAATGGATGGCTCATTAAAACAGTAACAAAGTCGTTTGCTGTTTATGCTGCTACTCCAACAGAAAAACAAGAATGGATGGCACATATTACAAAATGTATCGAAGATTTGTTAAGAAAAAGTAAGTAAAAGTCAAATTGTTACAAATCTTTTTTTTTTTTTAAGATAAATTTTCGCAAAAAAAATACGACTGATTCTTTTTATCTTTTTTATTTTTCTTTATATTTTTTAGGTGGCAAAAAGCCTGTCGAGGTCCATGCAGCAGTTTGGGTGCCAGATAACGAAGCTACAATTTGTATGCACTGCAATAAAACTCAATTCACAGTATTAAACAGACGGGTAATGATAAAATCATATTTTTATTATTCAAATGAATTCAGGTAATTGCTGAAAAAACTTAAACAATCATTCTTCATTTCAGCATCATTGTAGACAATGCGGAGCAGTAGTTTGTGGTCCATGCAGTAACAAAAAATTATTACTGCCTGGGCAAGGAAACGGGAAAGCTGTCAGGGTCTGTTTACAATGTTACGATGCCGCTAGTAAAATCAAAGCAATACCTACGACCGCTGTGGATAGCTTAAATAACAAAGACCCGCAACGTAATTCCGCTGACAGTTCAGGAGGGGATAGCTCTGGGGACGACGATGATGGAAATAAGGAGGAAAACCATGATGAGGTAATTAGGTTTCCTTTTGTTTTGAATGAGGATCAACATCCGTGCAATTTATATATATATATATGTATGTACATACACATATTTGTTTGCTGTTACTAAAATGTGATATTTCTTATATATGTGATTTATAATTCAGGGATAAATACCAAAATAATTTTGTTAGCAATTGTATACTGGCATTATCAAAATAAAGGTATATTTGTGATACTGACATAATTGCTAGCTTTCAGTCCCTGATTTATACTATAAAATCAATGTATTTATATGTAATAATTTTCCTTTTTTTGCAGCCTAAGTTTTATTCCACGCTTGGCCGATGAAAATAACTATATCATATGGATGAAGTACGAAAAAGATGCAAAAATTCTACAGAAATATTTTTTAAAATCAATATCGGACTACATTATAATAAAAAAGTTTATAAGGATGTCATTCAAGAAATATTTCTAAACGATTCATTAGGAAGATTAAAACGGAGACACAAGTGCGTATGATGCGAAATTCTGCCAAAATTTACGAAGCACATATTGTTCTACATATATCTAATTTGCATTCTGCAATTTTTAGTAATAAAGTATTACATTTTATTAAGGTGGTTTTTTAGTAAATCGAGTTACTAGAAATGTCTAATTTTTTTATATAATGAAGTACCGAAATTGACATGGGCAAAATTCTATGGTAGGTTAACGATGAAATAAGAAAAAAAAACTAACTAGACACAATCTTACCATAGACCTTTCTCAAAACCGAGATTATAATAGTTTAAAAAATTACGATTTTAATGATTACAAAAAAATAATAGGTTAACAATTCTGGAAAGATATTTATGTGCATAAACTTGCATATAAATTTAACCTTGAAAAGTAAACATCTCATCTTTTCGTTCGACGAAAATGCAGCTCTTGATTTACTACCGTATGTTCCATACTATTTCATTAAGATATACACATAGTTTTAATATTTTATCCAAATTATGCAAATATTTGTAATTTTGGGTAAGCTCTGGTGAGGCACCTTAAATTTTCGTCACTTTACTAAAGAACCACCCTAACACAAAATTAAAAAATGATAAAAATATATAGTTGATTGAAAGAACAAAAGTACTAATATTTTTTCTTAAGTACTAGAAATGCACAGTTAGAAATTAACAAAGATTTGTAATTGGATAATACAATTACATCACGTTCAATGTATAAGTTTATTATATATAACCATTAATTAGATCAAAAATTTTTTTGAAACATTTTTCATCAATGTATGTATACTAAGAATATATGCCGCCATCGTGCCTTTTTATATTATTAATCAATATCGGTTATCTAAGTAAAGAACATGTAACATTTAATGCAACATTTAGAATGCAAAGACTAATTTTTAATTGTATACTTTCTACCTATTATTGCAATACGTTATAATACAGTACGTAGCACTCTAAACGTAATATCTGTGAATAAACTGTTGTACTATTATAAATTTAAGAGTGTTATTTGATGAAATAGTAAACATCACGTTATCTTTTGGATGTTAGCGTAGTAATCGAAAGATAAAATTAGTTTATTAGAATTAATATACTAAGAATCTCGAGGGAAAAAAGATGTTCAATTATGTATAAACACACAATAAGGGAAGTTTTTAAATTTATAATATATAAGATAAAAATGCCACTCCTTATCTAAATTGCAATGATACGAGAAATCAGATAAAGAAGGAAAATATATCATTTGTACAAAGAGACCATTTTTAAAAGTTTTATAAAAAATTACTTCGTAATAATATACATTAGTTTGAGTAACATGATAATATAATTCATGATTTTATCTCCATAACTATATAATACATGTTATAAAAAATATATAGTAAGTTCCACAAAATAGAAAATGTTAGTACCAACTCGTGTCTACTCTTTTCTTTTTGAGGATATTATACTACTATAGCGTAGAAATATGTTGAAATCTTTAATTTCTTTTTATCTAAGTTTTTAATATCAGAATCTGTCATAGATCTTTAAGAAAACAAACTTGTTAATACATTGTTTCTTATTGACAACTTGTTTTTAAACTGTGTACAAGCTATCTTTAACAAAAACAAAACATATCACACCTTTTCATATAAATATACTGAATTATTCATACAAAATACTGTATATTAGATTAAAATTTATATTTGTTATTCATAGAATTTAATGAATAACTAATAAATCAAGTAAACGATTAATATTTTCTATTGATTGTTTTAATAATGGAAATCATTGATAAATTTTCCGTTTCAAAAAATCTGTAAATGAAAAAATTCAAAACAATAGAAAATACTAATTGAATTTGAATTTTGTTCCTTTTCCCTTCCATTATTCAATTTCATGTTCTATGTACGTATTTTCTAACTTTGCTGTAACAGAATTGCTGGCTTCCAGTATCTTCTTATAACGTTCCACTAAGTCACTAATAGACCGTCTCCTTGAATCATTTTCGTGTTTTACAATTGTACTTTTATTGTCGTCATTTACAATCTGTACCTCTGTAAATTCATCCAATTCAGGTTTATTTACTTTGATTTTACGATCGAGTTTATTTCTTGCTTGTTGCTGAGACGCAACTTTTGAGACATTTCCTTTTATCGGGGTGAATTGTACGGATGAATAAGAAACTTTGAAAGATTCTTCGCTCCAATTGAAAAAACCCTTTGTTATGGTATCTAAATTAAAATTCGATGAACTAGATATTTCTTCTATACTTGTAATGGCAGAATTGGATTGTACGGTAGATTGTAGAGACATCATGCTAGAATTGACTATATAAACATAATTTTAAAATTTTACGTATATATACCATAAACAAAACATACCATACGACAATCAAGAAGTTGTTGAAAAGGCTATTATTTTATATAATAATAAAATTGAATTATATAAATACTACTTTGCAGAAATAATGTCTTATTATTGTAATACAAAAATACATGTTTTAGGATGTGAAAAATAAGTATAAATAAAAAAGAATAATGACGATTTCTTCTAGTGATATTTAATTAATTTGATTTTTTTCACTGTAAAATAATCATTATCTAATTTTAGTAACTTCTTGGTTGTCCTGTCTTCTTTTCTTTAATAGAAATTATATAAAATTTCAATCACAATATTATTTATACAAATTAAATAGAATTTTTACAAACCTTTTATATTTTTCTTTTTGTGTGTATCAAATAATCGGGAGTATTTTCCTGTTGTTCTCTTACACAACTGATTCATCTTAGGTGTCACAAAACGTAATTCTTGTTTTTCATTACTGTCTAACATAGTGTGATTGTCAATATTAATGCGCGATATGTATAAATTCGTTTTTATATCTGGCGTGTAATTCTTACTGTGCCGCATGTACCTCGAAAATAATGATTTGTGTGCAACTGTAAAAAAAACGAACAATATGATTACGTTAATAATTATTTGGCACAAAAATTACAATTTGTAGTTGTTTCTTAAATATCGATCTTACTTTCAGCCGGAGTAAATTGTAATTGTGTATCGTTTCTTTGATCCGCACAATTAGTATTAATTTTGATAAGAGGCGAGGGCATAAGAAGCACGTTTTTTACAAAGGGTAAAACATTTTTATCCTCAGATATACGCTCTGTACTTTTCACACACAAAACATTTTGCATCTCCTCTGTAGAACTTATCATGCTGGCCAAGAAGGTTTTAAATGCATTACACATGGATTTCATGTCTTCTGCACTTGCTTCTACTTGCAAGAGACACTGGGACAGATCGACTAAGTCGTCCTTCCTCAGAGATTGATATATTTGATATAGTATCAAAGTAAGCAGACGAATAAAATTGTGATATACTAATCTGTTATCATTATACAAATGACAAAGACAATGCTAAAAAAATAAACATAAATTGACAGAATATGAAATAGTGTATATATATATAATTATTTTTAAAATAAATTGTAGCTTGTTAATTGATTATTATAAGATTAAAGAGAAATTGCAATCACTTATTTAATATTCAGCTTTACCTGAACATCAGGTGGAAACGGCAATTCCGATATCAGAGAACAATTAATTTTTTCCAGCTGCTTATTATCTAGTGCTTTTGAATCGTTCAATAAATTCGATATTATGCCACTTGTTTTCTCACACGCTCTTTCCATATCATTCAACATCATGTACCGTTTTCGTATATATTGTATATTTTCGTTTAAACTATTTTTCCACACTAAAACCCATGTATATTCATTAATTTCACACGTACAAGATTTTCAATAAAAAATTAGTTAAAAAAAATAAATATGATTCTAACTTGATATGATGTCTGTATCTTCGACATTTGTTAAACATTGCTTTATAGATTCGGTAACAGGAGCTGAAGAAGCGCATTTTGCCAGAGATTGTTTCTTGTCGAATAGCTCTGCTTTAACTTTAGTCAAATGTTCTTTCTCTTGTCTAAAGGAATAAAATAAACTCGGAGAATTTATAATATTAATATTAGTAGATTATAGAGATAGGCGATACAGTGCTGATATTTTAAATATGACAAGGACAATAATAACAAGGGCATGTCTGAACATGTATAGTACAATTTAAATTTTGAAAATATTGAATTCTTTAAATTCTGATTAAAATAGTTATTCATCAAAAAGATCAATGAGATAGTCTAATCTAAAAAACCTCCATTATTTTTGCAAAAAAATCCATTTTTTAATTGGTGCGCGTATCATCTAAAACTAGAAATATCGGATCCATATGGATATTAGCAATATCACAAATTATCCAGCCAATATTTTGGTATCAATATTTTTGCTCATGATACATTGTAATACAAAAAATATCGAGATTTTTTTCCATATCGCTCATCTCTAGTAGACTATACCAACAAAAATTTAATTTAAAAATATTACGCCAATGCAAAATTTGCAGCTTTTTCCATTTGTACATAATTTCTGTGACGACTCAATATATCGCAATTAATATTTGCTTTGGACTGCTGTAGGTATGTTTTAACCAAGTCATTTGCAAGACTTGGTTTTGGTGCAAATATAACTTCGTATTCACCTGAAAGAATAAATCAAACTAAATATATTACGATCAGAATATTTAATTCTGTATTTTTGTACAAAAATATAAAACATTTAAATGAAATCAATATATTTCTAAGAATTATATATATCTTAATAATTCTCTAACAATATAACAAATATATAGAAAATAGATTTTGCAAAGTATCTGCTATAAATATTACCAGTAGAATTTGGCAGAAATATAAAAGATGTTAACAAAATATGATGGTAGATTGATTACAATCACCAAGTAGAAATCAAAGTTATTTAAATAAAATATATCATTATTAAATAACAGATTCTATTTCGTTTCTGCTGAATCTGTCAAATTATGTCAATAGATTCTAATAACAGAAAAAGTGAAATGCAAACAATTAATGTAATCTGTTCATAAAGTTAAATGCAAGTACAATTAATGTGCAATCTGCTAACAAAGTTAAAAATACAGTTAATGTAATCTGCATAGATCTACTAGCAAACTGTTAGCATATCGCTAATATATTTTACTTCTTAGATACCTACCATCACGCATGATATACATTTTCAATGCAAGTTGAGACAGTTTCCACATTATAGTTATAAACTTAGTACCACTTGCATGATGTAAATAGGTAGTAACCACACGTGGGAATCCTATATCAGAATTCTCCAATGCGATGACATTCAGATAATCTTTGACACTGTTACGATATTTGGTTTCGGTTTTCTTGCAAATTACTGGCCATTCGACTACTTTTTTAAAACGCTCCGCATCATATATCGTCAACAGATAATGTGAAACATATATAAATCCGGTAGTATTTGGTTTGTCAAACATTCCCTGTAACACATGTTTTTATTGTATCACCGTTACCAGTAAGAATCGAGAAATGACACATATAAGAAAAAATACGTTTCGAAATTAAATCGGTAAGATAGAGAAAAGTAAGACGTTTACTTCGCGAAAGATCTTCTTGAAATCATGATCCGGTGGGACCAATTGATTCAATAAAGTGACATTTCGATGGAAGGATGCAGTAATAGCCATTCTGTGACACACACTTTCACACCGCAAATGACAAAAAATTGTGTCAATTGATATTAATCATGTAGCTCATAGTACACCAGTCGCGTATTCACGGTACATTCTCTCATTCGGTATTGAAATTCAAGAATACAGAAGCAAGCAACGCGAGATAGAAACTATTAAAAAATATTATTCAAGCTTTGTAATTCGAACAATCCAAACATTTAACGGCGGCTGGAAAAACCGTGGAGACCTCTTTCGGAGCAGCCGGATCCATTTACGACGCTGAGCGTACGATCGATTTCGAACTCGATATCTCGATCTCGCGTGCGATCAATCGATCGAGTCACTCTTTTCGAATCACTGCGGGCTGCGGTATAACGAAGTGTGCACAATATGCACCGATAAATCATCCGTAATTTACGGGGGCGAGCGGTCCGATTTAAATTTGGAGAAGTCTTAAAATCGCGGGATATTCCACGCGAGTATTTCTTCGGCAATTCGGTAACCATGCGTCTTGATGGGGGATGGCCTTTCGCAACTCTACCCTCTCTACGTACGAACCGCCTTTCCATTTACTATCATTCTGGCCGGTCTGACGCAGTCAGAGTCACGGAGTCAGGTCAGGTGCTCAAACGGATCGTTCGCGATGAGGAGGAGAGGCGCATGCTGAGGCTGAGAGGCTGAGAGCTCCACGCTGCGCTCAGCGGTGCTCTTTTCTTCGCGCGTTTCAACGCGTTTCGAAGCGTTTTCGAGCGCGATCGGGTGTTATCGCGCCGATAGGTGAAACCGTGGGCGTTTCGTACACGAAATATCTATGGACGTAGTTGGACGCGCGCGCGATCGTAGATCTCCTCGACACCCACCGAATTGCATAGGGCATGGCAAGTTCATGCTTCAGGTAATTGTTACCAGTTGTTTTTCCTCCTACGAAACAATCGTGCGTTCACATACTGCGTATCGTGTTCCGTGAATACAACTGTGACTCTCGACAGAATCGTCGATTCGAAAATCTCGCGTTTGTTTTACTTTTATTTTTGTCTCGTCGAGGTTATGTTTCCGCCCCTCAAACCACTTTGAAAACGAGATTCCCTTCTGCTTTCTTCGTTCATCATTTGTTAAAACTTGTTTTTTTCTTTTTTTTTTTATCATCGCCACAATTACGATATTAATTCGCGAATCATTCGTGCTGTAATGAAAGTGGTATGAAAGTATGTGATGTAATATTTACTTGGTAAACAACTATCAATAATTTACATTTTGCATCATAAGATATAAAGTGCTTTTTATTTGATGACATAAGTTGACACAGTATCGTTTCGTCTTTGTTACTCATCGAATGCCAAGGATTATTTAGTGACTTAACGTTTCACAAACGTTTTTATCTTTTTTGACATGAGTAACAAAAGACGGAACAATACTTGTGTTTATTTGTGTTACTAAATGGAAAGCATCCATAATGCTTGTGTCGACTTGTATTACTAAAGCCGCTTTCTTTTTAAGCTTAATCTTATACAATGTGCTATTTGTTTCCTGTTTCTTGTTTTTTACCTTTTGATTTTTTCCTCTTTGTGATCGTTTTATCGACAATTATATTTCTTAACGTGTGTTTTCTGTTTCTTCTGAAGTTCGTTAACGTTTATTTCGAGCAACAGAAAACGAAAAACGGGATAAGAGGCAAAAAGGCAAGATACAAAAAATATCAAAAAGCAAGAAACAGGAAACAAAAAGCACATTGTAGAATAGGCTTTACTTCTTGCCTTTTGCCTCTTACTCACAATCAGTCTCTTCGTTTTCTGTCATTCGTGGCTTATTTTTACCTATATATGACAGTTAATTTTGCGTTTTTCTCTCAACGTCTGACTCGCATCATTACGACAAATCAAGATTGTAGATTTTTAAAAAATAAGATGAGTTCACTTTCACATCAGTTAAACGATGCTAATTTTACATATGGACTACACACATCAAATAATAGGGAATGCGAAAATAACCGATGTTTTTGTAATCTGACCGAATACTCCAACAACTTATGTAATGTTGTGTTTATATTGAAAATGAATCGGGTGATCGTGATCGTGGTCGAAACGTTTGTATTAATATTAAATATTCTTTATATTGTATCTGGCTCGTAGCCCTTTTTTTATTTATTGATTTATTCTGATTGAGCCATTTTAATAATTTATCTTATATTATATATTTTCCAGTGATGTGGACGAATATGGTTTCGAACGACCACACGACTTTGATTATGAAACATACGAAGATTTTATGTCCGAGTACCTTAAGGTACTCGCAAAGATGGCCAAAAAGTGGACGAAAATTATCGGTGAGGGAAAGTCTCTACGAAGCATTACGATCAAGAAATACGTTCGTAAAGGCATTCCAGGAGAACATAGAGGATTGGTAACATTCATTGCAAGTCCAATTCATCATATTTTTAATATTTAATACAGAAAAACATTGGATCGTTGTAGGTATGGCTCGCTGTAAGCGGTGGTGAAGATATGAAGAATGCGTCGCCAGATCTTTATCAAAAGTTACTATTATCTCCTCACAATGTAGAAACCGCTGAGATTATTAAAACTGATCTTCCAAGAACATTTCCAGACAATATATTCTTTAATAATACAGAGAATCAGCAGCATCAATTATATAATGTTTTGTTAGCTTTCGCTCATCAGAACAAAACTGTTGGATATTGCCAGGTAACATCTACAGTACATATTTCCGAATATATGAATAAAATAGTAACAATTTTAATAAAAAATTTCATGAATAGTAAGATTTTATGAGAAAGTTTCAAAAGATATTTATTCTGCCTTATTAAAAAATGTTTTCAATATTTTTTCAGGGTTTAAACTACATAGCGGGTTTACTTTTGCTTGTAACAAAAAGCGAAGAAACAGCATTTTGGTTATTAAAAGTGTTGATTGATAAAATTCTACCAGATTATTATACATGTACTATGGATGGCCTACTCACTGATATTGATGTGCTTGCAGAATTAGTAAGGTAAAAGAAAATTTACTGTAGTTTTACTCATCAGCAATATATATCTATTTACACGTTATTTTTACAGGATAAAAATGCCTGATGTGTATCAGCACGTAACAAATGTAGGCCTGCCTTGGCCAGTAATTACGACTAAATGGTTTGTGTGTTTGTTTGCTGAAGTTTTACCTATAGAGGTATGTCGTAATTATCAAAACATTGAATAACTTTTCATATAATAATATCTGAATATGTATCAATGTCATCCCCTATTTATAAAAGCTTTAAATATTTTTATCACAAAAATTGAAAGTAATTTTAAATTGACAGACTACTCTGCGTATTTGGGATTGTCTTTTTTACGAGGGTACCAAGATTATCTTCCGTGTCGCATTGACACTTATAAAAAGGAATAAATCTAATCTATTAGCTTGTCAAGATTTTACAACGCTAGCTGAATGTTTTAAGGAAATTACGAAAGATAGTATTGTTTTACGATGTCACGAGTTTATGCAAGTATGTAGTTGTATATTACGTGTAGCTCATACATCAAATAGAGAAGAACGTTAGATATTTATGGAGACATTTTTCTGTTTTGCAGAGTATTTTTAAAGTACCTGGATCACTGCCTGGAAACACAATAGCAAAACTAAGAACAAAGCATATGCAACAACGTATAAAACGAAAACAAGATAAGTTAGAACGATAGTATTAATAACCAATTTTTTTCACATACACCGAAATATTCTAGTCTGTTATTCGTTTGCATCATTTGCAAAATGAATGCATATAATGCTGTATTATATTGTTACTGCATAATTCTATTTTGTTGTATATATATTGTTCATTTAGCAATGTATGATACACATTTACTCAATTATTTTTAATTTATCTTAGTTTGTTATTGTGTATACAATGTTATAAATATTTTAGTGAGAATATATTAGAATGTGAAGTATTATAATCTATGATGAGAAAGTTGGATAATTGTGATATTTTTGTGGAAGTAACACTATAAAAATATTGACTGATGAATACCTGATGAAAAATAGTTGTCCTTGTAATATTTTCTTTAAATTGACTCTGAATTTATATGCATATATAGTTTTTATTCATGCATAAATTTTCTTGGAAACTTAATCTAGCTGGTAAAGGTATTAAAAAAAATTAATTGCTCTAATATACAGCTCCGAAAATATATTATAATAGCAAATAATACATAAAATTAAATTAAAATTATGTACATCAAAATTTTGTTCCTAAATACATTATAGATATATATATTACGCTACATTATACTACATTTTCATTATTTCTCAAGTAGATCCTTTGCCTCGTTAATTTTTGCTGCGATATATGGAGAACCTCCACGATCTGGATGATTTACAGCCATTACTTTTTTAAATTGTTCTTTTACTTTGGTCTTACTAGCTGTGGGCGACACACCCAAGATCAAACTGGCTTCCCGCCTGGTCATCCTCTGCTCAAAACCACCTTTATAATATTTGCTATTCGCTAATGACTACAAATATTAAAAAAGGTCAGTATGCCTTTATTTGAATGCATTTGCAATTACGAGAAAACTGCTAAGGAAACAATAGATGTTTCTACCTGGGAATCTAGCTTTTTCACGGTTTCTGCCATCCTCTGTGATAAATTCGGCATTCTCCTAAGCAAATAACGACCGGCAAACCCAACAGCCGCCAGGCCAATACCTGCTGCCACAATTGTGCTCTGAGAAACAATTTCTTGGTTTTGTCAAACATCTTAAACTCAACATTCTAAATATAACATGCCTTGCTAAAAGCAAAGTAGATATGTCATAAAAAGACTGAAGGAGACAAAGTATCGTCGAGGAAACTTAACCTACATAATCTTAATTATATTAGTACTGAATGTCATCTTATATGAGCTTGCACGGTTGTTCTTTGCGAAATACTCATCATTATGTGATAATAATATACGTTTATTAAAAAGATGACGAAAAGGTGACGAAATATTTTTGAGGCAGCTTTGGCACTGCATTTATTTACTTGCACATTTCTCGAAGGTTTCGACATTAATGTGGATAATTTACGTCCTCTCGACACAAAAAATACGATTTTCACAGCATTACACATTTTTTTAACAAATTCTTCTATTCTTACCATTTTATTCAGTTTCAAAACAGCAGACGCAATTTTGCATATATACCGGGAGGAAATAATTTTAGCATGACCATAACCAGTTACAATCGCTCCATCTATGCTGTTTTCGAACACTGTTTTATCATTATGTGCGATAAAATCGTTATCCTATATTATCATTCGTACATACCATCGTTCGCATACACACATTATGTTCAATTATTACACATCTACAAATTTTTGAATATATATTTATTTCTTTTAATTATATTTTTATGCCTTTCGTCCGTTTTTTCGTTATCAAAGCAGAATGTACAATTATTGCACTCTAAATACGTAAAGTGTAGCCAGAGCACGACTTTTGTTTTTATAGCTGAACTATAAATGTATACTCTTTGTACTTAAAGTGAAATAGACGTATATATTTGATATTTAGCGAAAGCTAGAAAAAATAAAGATCTAGGCAGTCCAGTGCAGTAATGAGAAACAAATTAAAACGAATTTTAATTGCACTTTTTATATACATATAACTTCTTACATGAAAAAAATCAAGTAGAAACAAGATATCTCCTATTTCGTTTGAAGAGAAGAGGGGAAGAGGGAAGAAAACAAGTGTGGAGAACTACGGTTAGAACGGTCAAACGTCTTTGGAAACGAGTCGAAAATTTTTTCAAACATATACATGCACGATCGCGTAGAGATGGTAAACACGAGTTTTGTCGCAAAGACGCGATCGACCGCCGGTTTCAGTCTCTGGGTCTCCGCTTGATAATGGAAGGCCAATACGGAAGGCTTATGGCTCTTTGTAATCGAGCTTTCCGCATCTTCCGTCTCTCCTATTCTATCCCCCTCTCCCTGACGTCCAACTACATATTTACTTCGTTTTAAGCGTAAGAGAAGTATAGAGTGGTACGGGATACGACGAACAGACCGTACTCTTAGTGGGGAGCACGACTGTTCCAGTCATCTTCTGATCATGGGTCTCTAAAGCTTAGTATACCGAGTATACATGGCTGCAAAAGACCGCAGGCTACTACGCGGTTGTTGCATTCACATGCGTGTGTGTATAAAGCCTGTTCTACAATTACGTAATTGTAAGTGGTTGTAATTGTAAAAATCAATCAACCACAATCGAATTAGAGGAGAATATTCGACTGTAGGGATTGATCAATTTTTACGACTACAACTACGCTTTTACGCAATTGTAGAATAGACTTTACAAAACCGGCGTGTAACTGCTATAGGACAGAAAAAAAAATCCCTTATAAAAATTTAAGTACTATTAACAATACTTTCAATATTCAAAATAAGTGATTAATTGGCCAGTATTGATATTAAATTTCTACAAGGGACAAGCAGTAAATAAATCAATATTTTGGATTTGCTACAGCTTACGTTATTGCCTGACGGTTTCTACCATTGCGGACAATTTACACTACGTTTTACCGTTTAAAGATGCGCATGCGATATATCATTTTATCCTTATTCACCGAACATTAAAGAAAGATAAAATGATACATCATGCGCATCATGCTTGAAACGGAACGCAGCCCAAGTTCTTTTGTGTGCCCTGATCTTTACGAAACGCACGCACGAAAACACTCGAAAATCGCGCATTTGTGGGCGCATATAAATATCGACTATTGTCACGTGAGACCCGACGATCATCAAAAATCAAAGACTTTCGAATATCGGCGCGGCTTGCACGCGAGCCTCCTAGGCTGCGCGTACCACTGCGAGATTCTTTCTAAACGCTGCCCGGTGCGTGTATATGCCATTACACGTGAATCGATTCGCGCCTGGAGAATTTTCTATCGAGGCTCTCTTGTTTGGCCCCTATTTTATATAACTCACTTAATTTTACAGTATCGATATACGTATATCTCGTTACATTGTTATTTGCGCAGCGTTTTTACCATGCATGAAATCTGGCGCAAAACGGTGACGTAACGACCCTGTTCGTCAAAGAGTTACAGACGTTACAGAATATTACAGAATGGAGGCCGTTGTCATGGCAGTGCGAGAGACCCGGGAAACATTAGGGGCTGCACACAACGGATGGAACATGGATAAGTATTAAGGTTTCAATACTATCAGGAACTAGTTACTAGAATACACGGTTTCCGATAGGCTAAAACCTTAATATTCGTGTTCCTAATATTTCCTCTATTGTGCACAGGGCTTTAGACTAGGTTCGTCATAGCGTGTGACGCGATAACGTGTTGGGGACGACACGATAGTCGGTCTTCCAGCGATCTCGAGGGACCATTTCGGTGGTACGATCATCAATATAGATATGTATATTGTTCCTCTCGATTCGATTCGGCTCGGTCGTATACCAAGCGTTGATCAGCGCTAGTCCTAGTTAACTCAATCTTTCTGCCTTCCCTTCCCGCTCTCCCTGCCTGTATATGTATATATCGCAAAGTGAGACCGATATAACTTCGGTAGAAGTCGAGATACGATAAGCAATGAATGAGAAAGTAATTTCTACGATTTATTCGCACTCGCACGAGATATATATTTTTATTAATATTGGCCCGATTGAAAATTACATCGATATCAATCTATCTCTTTCTGGCCCGCAGTGAATTCCGCGTGAAACAAAAGAGGATGATCGCTAGCCTAGAATAGAAGCGTAGAATGAATTTCAAATCTGCCTCTCGGCGACCGTTAAGGCAAGGTGTTGTAACAAAGTGGTTTGATTCTCTTCGCCGTGACTCTCTTTTTCGCAGATCCTTCTTCCATCCAAATAAGACGCACAAATATGACCTGTAGAGTATTGTAGACCACTATTCCGTCGCACTCGCATGCGCGCTGTCGACATGGTGCCTACCTATATATGTATTATATGTAAAAGCTCCTACACACTGGACGCGG